GGAAAGAGGAGAAAGCCGGCTTCCCGATGGTCGCGGTCTCGTATTTCGCCGAGTGAAAATAAAAGCGCGAGGAGCAAGTAAAAAAACGAAAACGAAGAACGGCAATTGGCTGCGCGGGTCACGTGGTAGCAGGCGCGACCTCTTACTGGTCAAAGCTGCGCCGCGCACCTTGGCAACCTTGGAAGCGCGAGCGCATCTGCGGCCGCTGAGTCGAGAATCATCCGGCGTGCGCTTCGTTTTTTGCCAGTTGGCTGTTTTTGTGATAGTTCGCGTGCTTTTTTTTACCAAGCTTTGTTTACATCGGTGGTCTCTTCTGAGTGCTTGCTCATACTGCGGTGCTATGTTGTCGCAAAAAAAGTTCCGGAGCGTCCACAAGTACGGCAAGCGTCGGAAAGCTTGGAACAAAGGGCAGACGACTGCGGCTGCCGTCCCAGTCGCAGTTCCGGACGGAGCATGCTCTTCAAGCGTCACGGAGCCTCTACTCAGACCCTTCGCTGATTGTTGTGAGGCCGAGAGTGTGGAAGGTGCCACATCGTCGTATGTCAGACCGCCGGATGCCGTCGACGGTGATGGACGCTCTCGCGAACCCGATTGCGGTGGCACCGCGTCGGCAGCCGTTGCAACTCCGGGCGTGCGCGCGTCGAACATTCTATCGCGAGTTTCGGGCCAGATTCCGAGCAGTGAAGAAATCGCGCAGCGGGCGCAGACAAGGCGGGATGTTTTGGATGCCGTAGCATCGAAGTCCGCTTCAAAGCGGAAGCTCGATCTTCTGAACGAAGGCTGCGACGAAAATGACGGCGGTAAGGACTCCACATTCTTCATTGTAAATAAGAAGATGCTGAACGGTCTGCTTTCGTCAGTAAAGTGCAACAAGTGCGACGAAGGGTCGATACGCCTCGAGACTACGCACTGCCTTGGACTCGCGGCGAGGATGGAACTTTTTTGTGACAATTGTGGCATAGTGAACAGTGCGTGGTCGTCCCCGAGGTGCTCCGAGCAACAAAAAACGAACCCCTTTGAGGTAAACGTGCGTGCTTTGAGGGCTGTGCAGTCAGTTGGCAGAAAACAATCTGCCATAAATGACATTTTTTCTGCGATGGACATTTCGCATCGAGCATTGCACCACAAGTCCTACCAGAGACTGCAAAGGAAGTACAGCCACCCTGCCACCACATCAGCTGCCACCCGCATTGAAGCAGAAAGTGCACAGAAGGTGCATGACATTTACAAGGACCTAGGAGGAGTGCCAGGCAACATTGACGTCATTTACGACGGCACGTGGATGACGAGGGGGCACAGAAGTCATATTGGCGTGGGCTGTGTAATCGAGCTGTACACAGGCTTGGTCTTGGACCACTGTGTCCTGTCCAACTACTGCCAAGGCTGTGCTGTTGGCCCCAAGCCTGGTGACAACTATGAGGAGTGGCTTGAGAAACACAAGCCACAGTGCCAAAAGAACACCGATGCTAATGCAGGCCAAATGGAAGTAGAAGCAGCGAGGATCATGTTTGAAAGATCGTTTACCAAGTACAAGCTTCGATACATCAATGTGCTCTGCGACGGTGACAGCCGTACGTACCTTGCCCTCACGCAAGACAAGGTGTATGGCTACATGTTGATTAAGAAACAGGAGTGTGTGAACCATGTGAAAAAAAGAATGGGCACTTCCTTGCGCAACCTTCTTGATGAGCACAAATCCAAAGGCCGAGGACTGAGCATGGGTGGCAAAGGCCGGCTGACGCAGGGCCTTATAAAGAAGTTGACGAATTATTATGGCTGGGCCATTAAGAGCCACCCCAACGATGTTCCTGGCATGGAGAGGGCCATCATGGCCACTTATTACCATGTAACATCCACAGACCAGGATCCACACCACGACCTGTGCCCAAGTGGGACTGACTCGTGGTGCCCGCACAATCAGGCATTGGCCAAGGGAGAGCCGCTGCCGCCTCACAAACATAAACTGCCCCCTCACGTGCGAGTGGCACTGCTGCCAATCTACAAGCGCCTCTCGAACAAAGAGCTCCTTGAAAGGTGTGTGCAGGGAAAAACCCAGAACGCTGTGGAGAGTATGAACAGCCTCATTTGGTCACTCCAGTCCAAGAGCCAGTTCGCCTCCCTTCGAAGTGTGGAAAGTGCAGTTGCAGATGCAGTCTGCCGTTTCAATGGTGGCTGCAAGAGTGCGCTGCAAGAGATCACTGCTCAACTGGGCTTCAATCCAGGAGACTGCTCTTTGCGGCGAGCAGCCGAAAAGGATGCCAAAAGGGTGAAGAGGGCTCAAAAGGCGCATTGTTCCACGACAAAGAAGCGCAAAACTGGGTTGCGCTCTACAGAGGCCAAGGCCACAGCATCTCAGGATTACTGCCCAGGAGGATTCTGAGTGTTTTAGGCATGTTGTGAACTTCCAAACAAGAGTGAACTTTCAAAGTCAGTTTTCTCAACTCTTGATTTTCGCCTATGTGCCTTCGCTAGAACAATAGTCATTTTCTAACAAAGACTGATAGAGTCGTTCCGTTTTTTGCACTAGGCTCAGGAGGCCTTTAGCAGTGCAATAAAGCTTTATCTCTCTTCTTACTCATCATTTAAAATTTTTAGAACACATTTTATAATTACTGCGATGTGTGCGCAAAACAACATCTATGTTTTGGAAATTTTATTTATGGTTACAAGAACTAGAAAAATCAACTAATAGCTTCTTTGCACAAGTTGATGCTTTGGGAACATAATAATATGAAAAAATAATTTCATTTAGCAATAATTATCTCTTTAAGTGAGAAGAGCATTAATTAGTATAATTATGCTTGTAACTCAAAAAGTACAAGAGGTATTTGAAAACGGTTTTCATATTTGGAATCCTCACAATCATCCACATACACACACCAAATTTCATCACAAACAGTACATTAATAAAAAAATTAGTTTTACTTGCCACGTCCCCCCTTAAACATTTATTCAACAAGATGCAAATGTTGATGATAACTTGTACATGCTAATTAAAAATTACACTAAGCTGCTCCACACTCCCAATACCAGGCATGAAAATTTTTGGAATCCTAAAAAAGGATTGTTACTTTTTATAGCTAGGACTAAACAAGATCCGATCATGGAAATTTGGCTATGCATAGGGAGCAAGCTAATAAAAACATGATGACCGAAGTGCTGAAACTGGTGGGCCAATGCTCATCAGTAAATGAGTGAGCCACTGCCATCAACGCATAGTGGCAAGGACAGTCTTATGCAGGATACAATGAGAGAAAAGCATGCATGTGTTCAAGCCTGGCTATGTTGCATCTAATCTGCTATATAGCTTTGAAGCACTCACGTCGGTCAAAAGTGTCTCCAATGAGTCATTGCAGCGGTTTGCAATGAACTTGAGAACACCTAAAATAGCATCCTCTGCAAAGAACGAAATAAAATTTATGTCAGCGTTTCCATATGCCATAATTTCTAACATTCAAACAATATGCACGCACATGAAATTAGGTGCAGTTGTGCATGTCATCAAGTTTCAAAGCAGAGGGGCATGACAAAGTCGGCACATCTGTTCAAGCGTAACTTGTAATCACCACTTTCTCCACTAAATGACGGCTGGCACGACTTGTTAGCCACCACCATGATCACCACAATGCGATGAAAGCGGCAGTGTCGACGCAGCATCTCAAAATGCGTCAATATCCATCAAAACAAAAAAATGTCGCAGAATATCCACGGAGTGAATGATGAGTGGCGCGAAGTGTCCGTCCATTTGTTTGCGTGACAGACGCTTCACCCCACTCATCATCATTCAGACCGTGGATATGCTGTGAATTTCTTAGTATAACAGCGGCATCTATCCTCTTTAATAGTCAACTATACCGAAAGCCACTAATGCCGTCCAGTGATATTATTTCCAAGGACATATACACACTGCTATCTAATGAGCAATTCTTAAAACCAACTTGAAGTGGTTACTACTACAACATACTACTACTAGGAATCGACCCACACCTTAGGGAGCTTCACCCCTAAAACAAGCTTGCATTGCTGCGAAATAAAGTTTAGTGCTGCAGCGGGCATGCCTTCCTGGGTCCAAGCATAACCACATAATAGACAATCATTACTTGGTCTTACTGTAAACAAAACGGCAGTGCCACAAAACAGAGTTGATTGATAACTACAAAATGTCAATACCTTCTTTCTTTTGAAGCAAGTTAAAAAGCTCCTGCTTAGAAGCATGGTTTGTACTGAAGTTTTTAGATTTAGCTCAACTTTTCACTGCAGGTTTGCTTCTCGTTTCATTTTCCGTTTCTCTTTATTTTTACTACTAAGATTTAAAAATACATTACTGTATTAGCACTCATTTATAAAAATGGTTGATGTTACAGAGAAATAATAGTTGTCATGACAACAATGTATGTGTGTGGAACTACAGGAACACATTACCAGAGGCCAAGGTCGAAAAATCTGTCACCTCCTCTTGGTGGCCATGACTGAGAATCATGGCACAAAGGCACTCGAACCCCTTCATGACGTCATCCAAGATGTTTTTTTTAAACAGCAAGTTGAATTCCAACTGCAACTGAAAAGAAAGATCACAATGTTTACCACAGATGTCACAAAAAAGGGGAGGGAGATAAGAGCATACAGAATGTTCGGTGGCCAGGAACGGATACTCCAACAGCGCCTGCTGTATAGTCATGCGCTCGAGCCGCTCATGCCTTTCTTTGGCGGTGGCGAGGAGGCGCGGCCGCAGCTCGTCATCACCTGCTGTGCTCGCATTTTCTGTGAGCCACTCGTGGTGCCTTACGACGCCCCTCAGCGGTCTCACCATAAACAATAAGTTCTGGGTTGTCCTGCAACATGTGAATTGAGTGGCCACTTTATTAGTGCACACCTAGCACAGTAAAACAAAAATAAGCACCAAAAATATGTGCACCAGTGATAACATTTCACCTGCACTTTTTACAGAAAGCAAAAAACTATTGTTTCACCATGAAAAATATATCTTAAAAAAACACTTACAGACAGCCGGCACAGCTTCTTGTTGATTTCTTCTGGCCCTGGCACCCTGGGCCTCTTTGGTGCGTTGATGACCCTCATGGCCTCCATTTCTTCGGAGATGTTCTGGCATCTTTTTCCGGTTATTTTTAAACTTGTTTTTTAGTGCAAGTTTCCACGATTCCTGCACATTGTGCAAAAACACAAGCCCGAATGAGATTATTCTCACAGCTTTTGTCATGAATTTCAATGACCTGAATAGCTTTGTTACAAAAGAAAATACTGTTATAAAACCTTATATGTTTTCTACATGGCTTTCTGCTGCGAAATTTGTAAATGAGAATGTTTTGACAGAACTCGATCTGTCAAGCTGGCTAAAAATTAATACGAAAAAAAAGAACTCTTTAGCCACTTTTAGTCCAAAGTAACTAATATCTAAATTGAAAACTAAAAACTGATTCGATGTTTCGGAACCAATGCAGTCCCTTCTTCAGGGGACTGCATTGGGAACTTGTCGTTGAAGCGTCCCCCTTAAAGCACTGCAAGGGCCTGGACCTTGTTTAAACTTACCGGCCCGAGCCCGGCTCGCTGGCTTAAAGCAAGACCTAGGCCATACCCTTACCGGAGGAAAAAATGCACCTACCCGGCCTGACCGCAGATTAGACCTGACATAGGCGAGAGCCAATAATCTGGGTGGTGTTGCTCGAACACAGAATTGACAACACGGTGTTTTAAGTGGCAAATATCAGTGCTTTGGTGGCGAATGCTTTGCTAACAATTATGCTTTAATTTGCGGAAATTGTAGTGCAACTGAGAAAATTTTGTGGCTGGTCGGCCATTTTCGCACACCGTGACACAGTTTCGGCACATTTCGTGGTTTTGGTGGCGCTCAACAGAAAAATTGGGAATTATATCAGGTTAGTGCGAGTAGTGCAGGTGTTGCACGCCTTAGCAAACCTGCTTTCTGCTTTTTCATATTTTACTGGCATATGGCTCCCTAACGATGTACTGGTAGAGGGCAGTCACTGGACTATGCGAGCATACGACTGACAGGAGGTCGACGAAGAGATCTCTAGCTATCTTGAAAGTTTGTACCAGTTTTGGTAATAAAGACACGAATAAGCTTTTCGACGCTTACTCATCAGATGCATATCATTCGAGGTCAAGTTACAGCTGCCCAAATCTTTAACTATCGTACTCGAGTGGCGACATTGCTGTGCATCAGCACCACACAATAGAGCTGAGTTACAAACAAGGCGAGAGTATGTGCAATCCCAGAAAGTGCATTCAGCTGTGCTCATGGTCTCCTTGGCTGTTCCTTCTTCGGAGCATAATCCCATATCTGCACATTTAAAGGGGTATCGACACAAAAACTTTGGCCTCGCATTTTTCTGCTGCGATCTGTTGCTGCTTGCCTGTTAGTTATTACACGACATATCATTTGCTGCAGCACATGACAGATAATTTATTACATGCCTCTCATTATCCACCAGCTTCAGTTTCAGTTTGAAACAGCTTCAAAAACCGGGTGCAACTATTGCCACCTAGCATGTGCATGTCAGCACACAGAAATGTGACACACTTTCGCACGGTCCACATCAAGAATCAGTTTTGAATAGAAAACGAAACTGCAGTGTCGTCAAACAGCAAACTTTTAAGGCATGCGCCACGGCAACCAACCATCAATTAAGAAGTATAGACTGCGGGAATAAACGCAAAAAAGAAAAAATGGTGGCTATGATGTCATAATAACTTATTTTATTGACTGCAGCGTGATGATGGCAGGGAAGTTCGGGGTCCCCAAAACGTCCTCCTCTAGGGTTTCAAATGGCACGATGGAGTTGAAGGCTCACCCAAGCTTCAAAATTAGTTTAAAACACCTTCCAAGCTATACCTAATCATTGTTGACATTTCGCAGATGATATACAAATGTTTACGGGAATCAACCTTGCAGGCTATCTCAGCAATGAAATTTTTTGTCAATATTCCTTTAGGAGGCGCCAAGTTTTTTCATTTTATGAGTAGAAATGTGTGGCGTATCGTGAAATATTTGCTCAATTTCTTACAGCCACATTCAGCATTGGAACATTATTTCTTTATTTAGAATACGCTCAGGGCCAATGGCATCACAGAAGGGGTGGGGCAAAAATACAGAAAATTGGTAGTAGTTCAGAAACAGGTCACAAGACAAAAAAAATTCAGAAATAGAACTCACTGCCATTCATAACTACATTTCAAAAGTTTACAAGTAGTTACTCTAGTTATAGCAATACAAAAAAAGAAAACAAAATACATGATACCTTAATTATAAAGAAAAGTCGAAATTCGGTGTATCAGCAAAGAGAGGCACATGATATAAGTATAAATGGTGGTACCTAGTTTAAAAGAAAAAGAAAACTTAGAGAAATATATCACGTACAGCTTCTTTAAATTGGTTAGTATCCTTGATGGTGACAACATCTGGAGGAAGGCGATTCCACTCATCACTAGTGTGTGGCACAAATGAGTGAAAGTAAAGAAGATGCCTTACAAGATGGAATGCCAACTTTGTGTTGGTGATCAATGCGAGATGATATGTAATATGGTGCAAAATACAAGCACAATGCTGAACTGGACAGACTCACAATGATGAGCTATATACATTTCCCTCCCAGTCAGAAACATCATGCATTCTCTTCCGCATGACCTTTCCCCATTGTATTGCGAGGACTTCCGGCAACTAACTACTCGTAAATGGTGCCAGCGGGTCTTCTTTGCATTTGTACCAAAAGAGATTTGATTGACTGATATGTGGGGTTTAACATCCCAAAACCATCGTAGCGGAGGGCTCCCAAAATTTAGACCACCAAGGTTCTTTAACGTGCACCCAAATCTGAGCACACAGGCCACAGCATTTCCGCCTCCATCGAAAATGCTAGCCGCGGCAGCCGGGATTCGATCCCGTGACCTGCCTGTCAGCAGCCGAGTACCTTAGCCACTAGACCAACACAGCGGGGCCGTACCAAAATGGAGCATGTAGTTGTTTGGGAAAATGGCCGCAAGGGGGGTGCGTACACCTCAGAGAGATTTTGACTGCTTTGACAGTTGACAATGACCCAGCGAGAAGGGCGGTCACCAGTGCCGAGAGTCTCGCGTAAGCAGCGAGCATGGAGTGTCCCACGCAACGTATTGAGACGGCTCTTGCCTTTGCCCTTGTGTTAATTAAATGCCTGTTTGTGTTTAATCAAATGTCCGTGTCTGCTATATGAGTATGTCAGACACAAACATCGCCACACGTGCAACCCCGCACGGTTCGACTGGCCTGCACATCGATTTGAAATGTACCCCTTGCAGGCCCTTCAGGCGTCGCAGGCTGAAGTGTATAATGGAAGCCTGCGAGACTGCCGCACGCACGCCGCTGTTAGATCAGCTGGGCCTCACCCTACGAGTGTTTCACTCCTTATGGCAGAGAAGGGTAGCGAGGCTGCACTAAATTTGAAGCAGGCTGAAATGGATGTTTTGAACTTCATTATTATAGCACAAATTCGCAAAATTTTTGTGTCCGCATGTTCACATAGCAAAAATGTGCATATTTCTCTCCATTATAAATTTTAGACCTTAGGGTTGTTTACTGGCCCTTTAACATTTAACTTATGCGGCTGGAAGTAGCATGAAAATATAGCAAAGGTTCCATGCTCACCATGCCGGTCCCTTTTTTGATGTTGTCCCGTAGGTGCGGGTACTTCTGAATAAGCTGTTCCACTGCTGTGTTGTACAGCTCCTTCGAAGGAAACCTAGGAGAGAGACATGTACTAATCTATTCATGCTAATGGTACAGCATGAAAATAGAAGGAGTGAAAAAAATAACTACAGACAGAACTGAATGACAAAATTTTGATAATTTCTCTATGGTTACAAGCAATGGTAACTAGCCATTATTTCTCCAAATGAGCAAATAGCCAAACCTAAACACGAGAGAAGTTGAACAGAATATGGATGCTTAAAATAATGAAATTAGTTCGAACAGGGAGGTTCGCTGGAGGCAACATTTCCACACATTTATGCTGCCCTGATGCCACAACAAGTACACTTGGTAAAATGCTGGCTTCAAGTAATATGCAACTCACCTCATGTCCAAACTAAAAGTATGTTCACATAAACCTGAAGGTCACAGAGAAAGACCATGCAATGTACATGTATGAATGCAAGCCACTAAGTTCTGATTAGCACAGTTGAAGACATTACATTAGGCCCTAAGAAAAATGCAGGATGCAGGAGCTCCAATTTTTTATAAATTTCAGCATCTGTGTGACGATATCTAAAGACTACATAAGCACTGTTTATAAAAATATTCAGGAGGACAAGCTCGTCGTAACATGTTTATCAAAAGAAAACTTTAAAAAATATTCTACAACCACTTTAGGTAACTGCTCAGCTCACACTTGCATCATTAAAAAGGAGTATATTAGAAGTAAGGGTGCATTTATGTGCCTTGCAACAATGATTCTCGGTTGGCTCAGTCGTGTTTCTTTTCATTCTCAAGACTCGGTGCTCACTATGAGCCTATCGAAGAGCCCTAGTAACAATGATAGCAGCCCACTGTTTACGACATGGAAGCACCCGGCATATAATGACAAAACAAAAAAGTCACACAGAAAGTCGCAGTAATTATTCACACAAGAAACAATTGGAACCAGCGGCATGGGACTGAGAACCAACGTTACAGCCAAGCTGCAAGCCATAACTAATCTACGACGTATGAAGTCTGAGGTGAAGTCAGTGCTGCAACTCGGCTTGACATTATGATATTTAGAAACGATGGAAGAACCGAATTACAAAAGCCAGGGAAAATATAGGGGATGTGAGTTGTAGTAGTTATGATGCTTGCGAAAAAAGTAAAAAGGACAAAAAGATAACTAGCCACTGGCAGGGTAACTTGCAAGTTACCTTTTCACCCTCCTTGTTTTCTTCAAATTTACATTGCTATTATTACAAATAACATCCTTTACACTTTCCTAGGCTTTCTGGTCAGTTAGTTATAATTAACATTATGCTTAACAAAGAAAAACAAGCCCCTAAAGTTTTCCTTGATCTGGCACTAAATCAAGTCAGAAGCACTACATACCATACTATTTTGAAGCAAGCTTGAAAAATTCTGTTGACGATGGCTCGCCTCACAGGTCCCTCCACTGGTTTGCCCCTCTGGAGAACTTCCTTATACGGCCCGAAAGCAGGAAGTCTAAACTCAAGATAGTCAAACTGCTTTCTTAGTGGCACATGTATTTCCACCAACTCAGTGGTGCAGATGGAGTCAGCACTGAAACAGAATGTTAGTGTCAATTTTCAAGCTCACAGAATATTAAGCAACTGTTTTTCAGGTAACAAACATGCAGGACCTTTTATATGATGACACAGTGGAAATAACTTGCTCAACAATTATTCTGTGCTGTTCTGTAATGTGCAGAAATGAGTAAAGTTCTAGGTCTTACCTCTGATTGAGATGTTCCCGCGAAGGATCATGTGCCCTGGAGCTCGGGCCGGCCTCAGTGCATTCACTGCTGGTTGGCTGCACAACAAAGAAACTTTCAAGCTATAGCTCTTTAATTCATACCACCACAAAAATTGTAAATATCTGTGGAATTTTGTGAATTAGTGCTTAAAGCATCATGAAGTACAAGCACATCTCAGGAATGGCATTTAAAAAACTGGTATAAACAATCACAGCTCACTTGAATTAAAGTAGAACATTAAAACCATCAGGCAGCAAGCTGCAATGTGTGTGAAAGCCTCTGATAGCAAACAGTATTACAAGTTTTAAAGTCTATGTAAAAAAGAGAAAGAGACTATTCCTTGTATTATCATCATCAGCCTGGCTAAAGTTAGAGCAACTTAAAAAAATTTTAGGCAGGTTAGGCAGGTCAAAATAAAAATAAGAAATCATATTAAATTGACATTATTGGTGCAGCTGTTGCACCCCTGTGATAGCTGCCTTGATAGTGATGTTAGCATAACTGGTGCATTACGATCTTCTGTACACGGACAGAAAAGCTGTTTGTTTTGAAATCTTCCAGTTGATCTGCATAATCCAAGTGCCTCTTTGCATGCAGGACACATTCGTGTAATTAAACTGGGCCATTGTATACAGGTGAAAGGCACATTCCTAAGCTTAGCTTCTTCCATTTACCTTTTGTTCAGTAGGTGAACTGGCGAACTAAGCATCTGATAAATTATAATGACTTAGACAAAAGTCACAGCCGGATATTATGGAAAGGCCAAAGGTACTGTCCACCACAATGCATTCATTATTGGTGGTGCCGCGGCCCCGTCTGTGTATAGGGCGAATGACTGGCCTTGATCTGCACGCGACACCTTAAGGCTGGTGCACACCGGCGACTAGCCGCGGTCGCGCGACCATTTGCGACTGGTCGCAAGCAGTCGCGAACGGTCGCAAACGGTCGCAAAGCGACTGTTTTGGCCAGTCGCTTCCTGACCGATTTTTGGTCGCGCGACTGCAGTCGCAAAACAGTTTAACCAATCAGCGAAGACCAGAAGTGACGTCAGCCTTTGTTTACATCCGGCCACCTCGTATGTTATTTTTTTTCTCGTTGCGCTTGCCTACTGCCGTGAGGTACGAACGACACGTACGTTCCTCCGTGGATTTTTCCTCGCATCAGGCGAATGCCACCACGGCCAGCTTTGGGTACTCGGCCGAGCTCCTCATCGACGCGATTAAAATGTACCCATATCTGTATGACAAGCGGCACCCTTCTTTTAAAGACCGGACAAAGAAGGACCGGGCTTGGGCAGAGATCGGAAGCATGTTCGGCATGTCGAGTAAGTACCGAGATTTTTTGTTTGAGTAGCTATATAAGCAAGAACAGGTGTGTACTGCATGGCTGGCGTTGCCAATGAATGAACAATGAAAATATTGGTATTTGTACTGCAAGGTTTTAGTTTGCATGAGATGTATTGACTGTGATGTATGCGAGCGCAGTTGTGTGCATGTTTGTTCTCGCGACTTTCCGAGTTTAACATCGAAATCGACATGACAGAACATTGTATAGATGATAATAAAGCTCAGACGTTCGAAATACTGCGCGCAGTTGCCAACTCACCTAGCGCATGCTCCTTGCTGTGTTTGTACGTCATCGTCTGGCCAAGGGAATGTGTGCTTTTGTGAACGTGCGGCATTTGCAATGCATAATATCTAGTGCGCGGTGAGGGAGGGGGGGGGGGGGGGTTACGCTTTAATTCTGCCTATGCATTGCAGTTGTGCTGTTTTAAAAAAGAATGCAAAGTAGCGTCTGCTTTGAGCGCATTTTGTGCACTCCATAGAGGAGCGTGTAATTAAGACATACAAAACATATTTAGCAGCACTCTCAAATGTCCGGATTTGGGAGTCTGCTGTTGATGCCAAATGACATGCAATCGTAAAAAAAAAGATATGGTAGTGTTCTAGTGGCTGGGCGAACACTGAAGGAAAGCACAGATGGGGGAATTTATTCCTCTGTAATGTGGCCCATATGTAATCGTCATTTCTTCACAACTGTTGCTTTCCTCTCCTGTGTTTTTGTCTATTGGTGCCTTTATATTTCGATTATTCCTTTATTCCCACAGGTTATCTCTCCGCTTCCAACTGTGCCTCGTTTTTGTTTGTTTTCTTTGTTCCTATATTTTAAAGTCAATTTTTCATGTCTGCTTCTATGTGTTGGTATGTTTTCATGTTTTGGTCCCTTTATTTTCTTATAATTTCCTTCCTCTCGCTCTCTCTATGTTACACTTTGAGTCATATACTATGTTTGTTGCATTTCTTTCTCTCAAAAATTGTCATCTTGCTCTAGTTAGTTTCATCCTTCTTTTCAAGTTATTTAACATGTTTGCTTTTGTTTGACAACAATCGCTCCCGCTGTACACGACAGTTTCGCTTGGCCGATACCAATGGGATATACTCACCTGTGGAGTTTTGCACAATGCAGTAATGCTTAGAAAGTTTCACTCTGAAGGTGATAAAGACATCATGTGCTGGTTCATGAAATAGACTTTTTGCAAGTGAACTTCAATTTCCGGCAGTATAAACAGCCTCTTTGTTACAATAGCTTGGCAGACATGCTTACCTTCAAGAAACAGTGTACATAACTCTTTGCGCAACTAATCATTGCGTCAGCTGTGATGTCGTGCACATGTAGGAGGACGGTCCAAAACACTAGGTGGGTAGCATTTCTGGAACCCTCGGCTGCAGGTTCCCTCAATCATGTCGTGGTTTTGCAATGTTTAAGCCCCTACCAATAGTTAAGTTTATATGGCATGCAATTCATTTTGTTGCCCTATATTCAGATTTCTAGGGTGCTGCAGCCGAAATGATCTGGGCAAAGAAAATAAAGACCGCTCACAATTATGCTGAAATAAAGTAGAAAATTTATCAGCGATACAGTATGCACAATACATTCTTACAGCAAGGGTTTTGTTTTCAGGTGTCCTTGTTGAGAAACGATTTAAGAACCTGCGTGATATCTTCAAAAGGAAACAACACGACATACGTGAAAAAACAAAGAAGTGGAGCCGGAGCAGCCGACATTCCAACAATAAAATGGCCCCATTTTGAGGCCATGCTTGAATTAATGAAAGGAGAGTCTGAGCCTGTGGTGTAAGTTCAATATTAGCCGACTATTGAGTACTAAACAAAAAAAAGTTGATTTAGTTCACATGACTGTTATACATACACATAAATACTCACATATCAATACACATAAGTACACTGCACATAAACATAGAAGTCCCAAGAGGTAATTCACAGTGGGCATGCATGTGATCATGAACATGATGGCAATGGGCTGTTTTGATGTCGAATAACTGTGGCTACTGCTACGAAGAATAACTCAGTGCATCATTCTTTCTGGATACTGTGCAACATGAGTGCCATTGACCAAAGGTAATGAATAATGCTTACCGTCCATTGAACAGAAAATGAAATCTTTTGGTTAGCATAGCACAATGCATCAGCACAACGCAAAAAATATAGCATACCGTACAAGTGGCACGTGGACAGCTTCACAAAACAGAATATTGAAGACAGAACAGTAAGAATGAGAGAATTGAGTGTACTTCTGTGTCATTCTCGGCTCTCATTTACCAAAAGAAGGAAGGCTTAATACAAAATATAAAAATCTAAAGAGATCGCTTATTGCATGTGTCATGAGGCTGTTCATAGACAAGCATTGCACATATTCATTACAAGAATGCAGCATAAGTACTTATATTGTAGCAAAACAGTGAAAATGCTCTAAAAATGCAAACAATAGCACTGACAGAATCACATATTGCATGTTCTCTTGCAGCAGCCACATCACAGCAGAAGAGGCTAACGAGAGGTGAGCATGCACAAACATTTTCGGTACCATGTGCATGCACTTGAAGCTGTACACGCATGGACTTGAACCTAGAAACATTATTTTTTATTACTAGGTGATTGTACTTTGCAAAATTATGAAAAATACAAGCATGCTTGAAAGGCAGTGTTCAGGTCGTTAGCTTGCCCAAACCACTGCATTTTTTTAAATACATTCAGCACTCAACACTGAACAAAAGCACACAGGAATACATGAGGGCACAGGCATTGTTTCTGTGTGAATGTGGTTATTGTACAACGTCAAATATTTCTGAAAAAGCAAGGTATTCATCAGCAACAGGCCGCAATTAAGCAAACTAATGCATTATCTGCATACACTGGCAACACATTCATGTCAATTCCTTATGAACAAGTGCCCAGTGCTGATTGCAATACAAGTGAGCTGAATAATGTGAAGCATTCACTCATTCCTAGCAGTAAAATGATGCTGCAAAAGTCGTATGCAGCATATGTTCAAGAAACATAATGACAGCAGGCACAGTTTCATCAGACACATCGTTTGCACAGCCATTTAGGATTGACTGTATAAATTTCATTCACATAGCCAGTGAGATATTGTTACGGGGTTAGAGACTTTTGTACGAAATGCGTTTACAGGGGAAAACCCACAGGCAAGATTTACAATGGCTGATTAACACCCTCGCGTGCTTATCAGCTGCTTGAGTTCTTCCTCTACCGTTACTTCATCTCCGTGACAATATCTCTTGTTCTTATTTAGATGCGCAACCTACATAGCATTTTATTAACATAATAGGCACATTAAACTTCTGTATGCACACCTTCCATACAGCAGTGCTCAATCAAGAGGTAACCAAGTGTAAAATAAACCTCGTGTTGAGTGAAATCATAATGGCATTTTAACTCCCGAAGAATGCCTAAAACTGTTCATGTACTAGTGGCATCATCAAATACATAGAGAGAAGCTTTCATCACTGCAGATCACCGCCTCGGCCAAGCCATGCAGCGGAACCGGAACGTACCCCTGATACGGCTGAGGAGACTGGTGTCGACACCTGCAGCAATGAGTAAAACCTTTATGAATCCACCTAAGTAATGACAAATGAAGGGCATGCATAGATAGCCTATCTATTATATCTTAAAAACATGTTTTGTAACCTTCTTCATGTTCTAGCACATTTGGAGAATGTGCCTAATGTTTTCACACCAGATTCTGCTGCATGCAATTGTAACACTTTATAAGTTGTATAATAATACTGCCTCCTTCTGCAGTGATGCTTCAGCAACCACCTCAAGAGAGCAGCCACCATCAAAACGGTGTGTAAACGAAAAAATTATTTTAGGTACTCCTGGCAAGAGATCACAATCACAACTTTTCGAAAAAAAGATCTCTTTCTGTACATTTAAGCAATATGTATAATTCACTGCAGGTCACGCTCGTCAAGACGACAACGGACCTGCGAGGGCGCTAGGTGAGATATACCGCTAACTCTTAGAGGATAAACTTGCAGATTTTTTTCTAACAATCCTGCGCATGCTACAAAATACAAAACTTTATAAGGTTAACGCTCGGTCAAGTTGGTACACAGACATAGCAACAAAAAAGAGTGTGAGAACGACAAGGTAAAAACAGAAGAAACAGGATAGAGCACTGACTTTAAACTGATGTTTTTATTGTGGGCACATTTATACTAAGGCAGACAGAACCCATGTAACTACGGTAATATTTAGGCGTTAATATCAGAACATCAGCACCCTGTCCCAAAACACGAGTGTCCGTTTCAAAGATCAAAAGCCCATTTATTTCTCACAGAGAGGTAGACGCCCTATTGACACATTTATCTTTTAAGTGTGCTATTTCATTTGCTTCAGTTCCTCTATATTTTTTTCTTTCTTAGTGCCGAAAAGCACAAACATCAGTTGAAAGTCAGTGCTCTGTCTTGTTTCTTCTGTTTCTACCTTGTCGTTCTCACACAGTTTTTTTTGCTAAATGGTGCTTCACGAAGTAACAATGCAACCTTAAAGCATTCATATGCATGAATCGCAGATCACACTTGCTTTGCAGCAATGCAGGAGAGGGCACAAGCCATGAAGCTGTGGCGCAAGCGTGCATGGAGCACCTTGAACACATCAGAGCGAACAAGGGGGTCATCAAAAAAGATAACATTGGTTTCTTCGCTCTACGTACCGATGCACGCCTCAGAGAGCTACCAGTGCACATTGCACAAGATGTAATGCATGCAGTAGAACTTATGCTGTATGAAGCAGAGGCAAAATTGCATCAGAGCAGTGAAGCAAATTGAAGTGTTTATATAATGTCAATGACACCCATCTTTTTTTATCTTGTGTTCACTTTTCTAGTCTCAACTTAAAGGGGTCATGACTGGTCACTCAACAATTGATGGTTGTCAGCAAAAAACAAAACTACAGAGTAAAATGTGCTAGTACACGTGTGAAAAGGGGCCTTAAGAGATCATTTTAATCAAAAATATGCCGTAGAAGTGCTCGGCTCCTTAAACTCAACCTACCACAAGTGACCGCCATTTTGTCATGGCATGCGAGACGTCACAAGCTGAAGGAGCAATGGCAAATGGTACACGCATTGCACATTCACAGGACCCATTTTGACATCCGAAATTATTTGCTGCAAGTACCAGCACTACATTGCTGACACAGTAGCCATGTTTCGACCCCTGGAAGTCATTTAGGTTTAGTGGAGAGTTCAACTATGCGAAAAAATTTGATTGCAAGCGCAGTTGACGACGGAACACGACCGTCTGCCAGATTGCACACTGTGCAGCAGCTTGTTGAGCAAACGGTTCGTGATGTCATGGATAGTGAGTGCGTCAGTATTGCCCAACTGTCAGGCGACTAGCTCGTTTATAAAAATATGCGATTAAACATTAGCAGCTTGACCAAATCGCTCGAATTTTTCCAGCTTGTATGTGAACATACAAGAATCAGCTCATACAACAGACATTATGGTTGAAAATTGGGTGTCATGACCCCTTTAGGGCAACTTATTTCTGTGATAATTGTAGTGATAACCGTGCAATAACTCAAATATTTTAACATGAATTATTTATTTTTGTGTTTTCATGATTATATTTGGACATGACAGTTTTCCCTGTAATGTATCTGTTGTGTCACTGGTGATTTTTCTCTTGTTTGTTTAGCTTAAGAAGATGCTATGTACATAAGTTCTGTAAGCAATAAAATGCATTTACAACCCACCTTCACCTTGTACGCCTCAAGTGCTGTTCACCACTTTCTCCTGCCAAGGCACCTGACCGTCTGTGACGAAGTAGTGTGCCAATTTATCTCGCACTTCCTTGGCATACCTAAAACGCATAAGTGCCATGTGAAATTTCTGTCGGCACAGCCATGATGGAAGACACACACTGTAAAAGGAGCATGCTGAGCTTGAAAATCTCACGCATAGTTGCATTTCAGTGTCGTAGTCATGACGCTACATTGCCAAAGTGTTCCTCATTTTTATGTATTAATGAGTGCTACCTCTGCTGTCTATTTTCTACGGCATCATCACAGCTTCTGATAGAATGCATATTTATTGAGTAACTTTAGAAATTTCGATATGTCAAGTTCCATGACAGCCAAGGTCAGCAACTGCTCGCATTTGGACAAAACCATTGTACACTTTTGAGAGAATGATTGCGCTGTACAGTTAAACCTAATTAGGGCTGGTGCACACCGGCGACTAGGAGCGGTCGCGCGACCATCTGCGACTGGTCGCGAACGGTCGCACTGCTTGTGCACTCCACGAGCTGTCGTATATGCAGTGAATATTTCTGTGCCTACACATTTTGGCGAATCATAAGCATGCATCAACCTTTTCATGGAAGAGCGTACGTGCTCATATCACTCAGGTTGAAGAAGGGCAACCTAAACGTACCTGTAGCAATTTGCTTAGCATGGATTTCTGAAAAGCTGTAAATTCAAGGAGAACCTATTTCGCAAAACGTACATCACTCATGTCTATTGTTTAAATTGCTTTCACACAATGTGCTACCGTCCACAATACGTTTTGCCACTGCGCTACTGTCCACAGTGTATTGGGTCACTGTCAATTTAACAGAACATACGTAAAATTGTAGCAAGGTGCAGGGGTTAAACGCTGCTCATGTTCGTGAGAAATTTCGCATGTGTACTTGTGCAAACACACACCGTCGTGCATGCAGATACATAAAGGGTGGTTGGTTGAACCTCCTCCCTCCTCGATGCTGAAAAATATTTTTGGCATGAATACTCTTTGAGTTCCTTGAACAGCACATCAATTTGTCCTAAAAATTTGTGCATAATTGTACTCGCAAAGCTGAGGATTGTGTTTAACTTATTTTATAACATCATAATTGCGCTCTATATAGTACCTGTGCATCAAGATAACAGAAAACGGGAACTGACACGTCCACAAAGTAATGTCATTGTGTAGCGCAGAATCCCATTTTCTGTGATTTTACAAGCGGTAACCACGTACTGATTACGCAATAAGCCACAACAGATGGTTTTGAAATATTCACCACCTGAGATTCTTAAGAGGGGACGTGGCAAGTAAAACTAATTTTTTTATTAATGTACTGTTTGTGATGAAATTTGGTGTGTGTATGTGGATGATTGTGAGGATTCCAAATATGAAAACCGTTTTCAAATACCTCTTGTACTTTTTGAGTTACAAGCATAATTATACTAATTAATGCTCTTCACACTTAAAGAGATAATTATTGCTAAATGAAATTATTTTTTCATATTATTATGTTCCCAAAGCATCAACTTGTGCAAAGAAGCTATTAGTTGATTTTTCTAGTTCTTGTAACCATAAATAAAATTTCCAAAACATGGATGTTGTTTTGCACACACATCGCAGTAATTATAAAATGTGTTCTAAGAATTTTAAATGATGAGTAAGAAGAGAGATAAAGCTTTATTGCACTGCTAAAGGCCTCCTGAGCCTAGTGCAAAAAACGGAACGACTCTATCAGTCTTTGTTAGAAAATGACAGATGTTCTAGCGAAGGCACATAGGCGAAAATCAAGAGTTGAGAAAACTGACTTTGAAAGTTCACTCTTGTTTGGAAGTTCACAACATGCCTAAAACACTCAGAATCCTCCTGGGCAGTAATCCTGAGATGCTGTGGCCTTGGCCTCTGTAGAGCGCAACCCAGTTTTGCACTTCTTTGTCGTGGAACAATGCACCTTTTGAGCCCTCTTCACCCTTTTGGCATCCTTTTCGGCTGCTCGCCGCAAAGAGCAGTCTCCTGGATTGAAGCCCAGTTGAGCAGTGAGCTCTTGCAGCGCACTCTTGCAGCCACCATTGAAACGGCAGACTGCATCTGCCACTGCACTTTCCACACTTCGAAGGGAGGCGAACTGGCTCTTGGACTGGAGTGACCAAATGAGGCTGTTCATACTCTCCACAGCGTTCTGGGTTTTACCCTGCGCACACCTTTCAAGGAGCTCTTTGTTCGAGAGGTGCTTGTAGATTGGCAGCAGTGCCACTCGCACGTGAGGGGGCAGTTTATGTTTATGAGGCGGCAGCGGCTCTCCCTTGGCCAATGCCTGATTGTGCGGGCACCAGGAGTCAGTCCCACTTGGGCACAGGTCGTGGTGTGGATCCTGGTCTGTGGATGTTACATGGTAATAAGTGGCCATGATGGCCCTCTCCATGCCAGGAACATCGTTGGGGTGGCTCTTAATGGCCCAGCCATAATAATTCGTTAACTTCTTTATCAGGCCCTGCGTCAGCCGGCCTTTGCCACCCATGCTCAGTCCTCGGCCTTTGGATTTGTGCTCATCAAGAAGGTTGCGCAAGGAAGTGCCCATTCTTTTTTTCACATGGTTCACACACTCCTGTTTCTTAATCACCATGTAGCCATACACCTTGTCTTGCGTGAGGGCAAGGTACGTACGACTGTCACCGTCGCAGAGCACATTGATGTATCGAAGCTTGTACTTGGTAAACGATCTTTCAAACATGACCCTAGCTGCTTCTACTTCCATTTGGCCTGCATTAGCATCAGTGTTCTTTTGGCACTGTGGCTTGTGTTTCTCAAGCCACTCCTCATAGTTGTCGTCACCAGGCTTGGGGCCAACAGCACAGCCTTGGCAGTAGTTGGACAGGACACAGTGGTCCAAGACCAACCAAGCCTGTGTACAGCTCGATTACACAGCCCACGCCAATATGACTTCTGTGCCCCCTCGTCATCCACGTGCCGTCGTAAATGACGTCAATGTTGCCTGGCACTCCTCCTAGGTCCTTGTAAATGTCATGCACCTTCTGTGCACTTTCTGGTTCAATGCGGGTGGCAGCTGATGTGGTGGCAGGGTGGCTGTACTTCCTTTGCAGTCTCTGGTAGGACTTGTGGTGCAGTGCTCGATGCGAAATGTCCATCGCAGAAAAAATGTCATTTATGGCAGATTGTTTTCTGCCAACTGACTGCACAGCCCTCAAAGCACGCACGTTTACCTCAAAGGGGTTCGTTTTTTGTTGCCCGGAGCACCTCGGGGACGACCACGCACTGTTCACTATGCCACAATTGTCACAAAAAAGTTCCATCCTCGCCGCGAGTCCAAGGCAGTGCGTAGTCTCGAGGCGTATCGACCCTTCGTCGCACTTGTTGCACTTTACTGACGAAAGCAGACCGTTCAGCATCTTCTTATTTACAATGAAGAATGTGGAGTCCTTACCGCCGTCATTTTCGTCGCAGCCTTCGCTCAGAAGCTCGAGCTTCCGCTTTGAAGCGGACTTCGATGCCACGGCATCCAAAACATCCCGCCTTGTCTGCGCCCGCTGCGCGATTTCTTCACTGCTCGGAATCTGGGCCGAAACTCGCGATAGAATGTTCGACGCGCGCACGCCCGGAGTTGCAACGGCTGCCGACGCGGTGCCACCGCAATCGGGTTCGCGAGAGCGTCCATCACGGTCGACGGCATCCGGCGGTCTGACATACGACGATGTGGCACCTTCCACACTCTCGGCCTCACAACAATCAGCGAAGGGTCTGAGTAGAGGCTCCGTGACGCTTGAAGAGCATGCTCCGTCCGGAACTGCGACTGGAACGGCAGCCGCAGTCGTCTGCCCTTTGTTCCAAGCTTTCCGACGCTTGCCGTACTTGTGGACGCTCCGGAACTTTTTTTGCGGCAACATAGCACCGCCGTATGAGCAAGCACTCAGAAGAGACCACCGATGTAAACAATGCTTGGTAAAAAAAGCACGCGAACTATCACAAAAACAGCAAACTGGCAAAAAACGAAGCGCACGCCGGATGATTCTCGGCACGGCGGCCGCAGATGCGCTCGCGCTTCCAAGGTTGCCAAGGTGCGCGGCGCAGCTTTGACCAGTAAGAGGTCGCGCCTGCTACCACGTGACCCGCGCAGCCAATTGCCGTTCTTCGTTTTCGTTTTTTTACTTGCTCCTCGCGCTTTTATTTTCACTCGGCGAAATACGAGACCGCGACCATCGGGAAGCTGGCTTTCTCCTCTTTCCAAAGCTACCAAAATGGCGGCCCACAGTCAACAACTTGGCGCGTTTGTGCGGCGTGAACAACACCGTTTCAGGGGCTTTTTTTTCGCACTTTTCGGCGACTAGCCTCGGCAAAAACACTATTTGCGGGATTTGTAGCGCACGTTTCGCTGTAATATTTTAGAACAAGGAAGTTGAAGGTCTGAAGATTACGAAAAAAAATAAATCAGAAAATCGCATATTTTTACCAAAATCGGCACTTTACTTGCCGCGCCCCCCCTTAACGTACGTGCGCAACAAACGCGCCAACTTAAGTGCATTTCGCCTCCACCTAAAGGCGATCGATGCGGCCGTAATCAAACCCCTCATTTACGCCTAAACTGCCGACCGCAGTTACGACTGCACCATCGAGCCCGCATACGTCATAAATGCAATTCGTTCTATCCGCCCAAGCGAAACTTCCTTACAAGCGAAGCGCAGCCACAAGCCACAGCATATTAATCTTCAAACCACACGCTCTTACCTAATGGTCATGACCAGGCAGTCGTGCGCCGAAATTGTAGGCCGGTGGTTTGTGTCCTGCTTGGATATTGCGGGGCGCAGCAGTTCGAGCAAAGTGTCGAACGTTCGTGGCGGCATCCGCATGAAGCTAACCAGCAAAAAAAGAATGAGATAACATGTTATGCACTATCTTATAAGCACGTAAAACAACCATAAACTTACTCTCGGAAATACTCCTCGTCGTGCGAGCGCAAGTCGGGAAGCAGACGCCCTGTGTGGCCAGCCACTTCTCGCGAGCGAAGGGACGGTCTCACCCACCACCGCCTTGCTTGCTTTGAACGTTTTCGTGCTGCCAGCACTGACACGTTGGCTGAGCACATCAGCACCGCCACAACCTCTTCTTCATCACTCGACTCGAAGTCTATGATGCTGCCGGGAGAACGCTACGCAAACACAGCCGTCAAAAACAAACGCATCGCGCTCAGCGGGCTCCGTATCTGATCAGCTGATCGTCGCCGGTCGCCCAAGTTCTCGTTGATAACGAGATCTGTACGTGACTCCCCGGGTTTGCGACTTCCGGTCGCTCGCATGAA